CACTTCAAATGTTTCTTCTCCTCGAAGCCTTTGAAATACCAGATGTACCTTTCCTGTATACTCCATTTCCAGCCTTGATCATAGACACTGAGAGTAGAAAATGTCCTTCTGCCACTTGGGTTCCCCATAGCCAAAGCAGTGTCCTGCTACAGTCCCATGGCAGGAGGAGTGGTCCTAAAGTTGCCCTTAAGTCATAAGCTTCTTGTAGGCATTGCAGCTCATTCTAGGACCCAGTGAACACACCTTCCTAGAGGCACGTAGGTCTGTTGATTATGAAATATTTCCCCCACCCCCTCCTACTTGCACACACAGGGAATTAGAATTGCTTTCAGGTATCTTCAAAGTAGGGTATTTTACAGAAAGAAAAAAGTGAACATCAGACGCTTTCTTTTGCATTTTTGTGACTAAGTTTATGAAATACTTGAGTATACTGGTATTTGAGTCAGGAATCTGTTTGGTTTTAATTTATATTTCCAGTTAATTGCTGTGTTATTGCCTTATTGCTTGGCTTGGTTTTATTTAACACATAATTCAGCTTTTTTTTTTAAAAGCAGGCACTATCAATTTTGATATTTGTTTTTTTTTTTTAATCCACATAAAAGTAAGGGAAGCTGTATTGTCTGAGGCTCTGTCATTCATAAAGCTGGGGGACTGTGGGACATAAGCAGCTTCAGCAAATCACTTGGGCACTCTCAACATTGGGCTTGCACTTTTTATTTTCAATCTAGTGGCTGAGCAGGCAGAGTCCATTGACAATCCACTGCATGAAGCTGCAAAAAGAGGTAGGTGTGATTGTTTTTGATTGAGGGGTGCAGTACAGTAAAATACATGGATTTTAATTACACAGATTGATGAGTTTTTCCAAATACATCTATGGAACCCACACCCAGATGAAAATCTAGAACATTTCTACCGTTACAGAGTATTCTCTCACACACCTTTCCAGTTCAATCCTTTCCAGACTCCCTCAGAGGCTGGCTTTTATCACCCTAGAAGGGTAAGTATGAGTATAATTAAAATATGTCAGCCAACAAGCAAATTTTTACCAAAAGCACATCAGATAGAGCACAAATCTCTAGGATATATAAAGAACTCAAAAGTCTTAATACCAAAAAAACAAATAACCCTATCAATAAATGGGCCAAGGGACTGAACAGACACTTCTTGGAAGATGATATACAGTCAGTCAACAAATATATGAAAAAATGTTCAACATCTCTAGCAATTAGAGAAATGCAAATCAAAACTACTCTATGATATCATCTTACTCCAATCAGAGTGGCAGTGTTGGTGAGGATGTGGGGGAAAAGGCACACTCACACATTGCTGGTGGAACTGCAAATTGGTGCAGCCAATATGGAAAGCATATTGAGAATCCTTGGAAAACTGGTAATGGAACCACCATTTGACCCAGCTATCCCACTCCTCAGTCTATACCCAAAGGACTTAAAAACAGCATACTACAGAGACACACCCACATCAGTGTTGATAGCAGCACAATAGCTAAACTGTGGAACCAACCTAGATGCCCTTCAGTAAATGAATGGATAAATAAAATATGGTATATATATATATATATATATATATATATATATATATATATATATATACACACACACACACACACACAAGGAATATTACTCAGCAATAAAAGAGAATAAAATCATGGCATTTTCAGGTAAATTGATGGAGTTGGAGAATATCATGCCAAGTGAAGTTAGCCAATCCCAAAAACCCAAATGCCGAATGTTTTCTCTGATTTAAGGATGCTGATTCATAATGGAGTTGGAGGGGGGCATGGAAGGATTAGACAAACTCTAGATAGGGCAAAAGGGAGGGAAGGGCTGGGAGCGGAGTGTGGGGGTAGGAAAGACAATGGAATGAGATGGACATCATTACCCTAAGTACAAGTATGAAGACACAAATGGTGTGACTTGGAGTACAACCAGAGGTATGAAAAATTGTGCTCTATATGTGTAATATGAATTGTAATACATTCTGCTGTCATATGTAATAAATTAAGATAAAAAAGTGTCAGCCAACAAACACTGTTGAGTGTTTTACCTTCCTGTGCTCTGGGTGGTAATAGGCATATGGAATGATAGGTCTATGGCCTGTAAGGCTCAGAGTCAAGCAGAGGAGAGAGATGTATGGCTGCTTGTTAAAATACAGTGTGATAAGTACAGCAATTGAAATGTGTTTAAACACAATGTAGTGGCCAGAGTGCACACGTGGAGGGCAGGCATGTGGAGGTGTTCTGGGGGAGAATATTGATGTAAAAAGGTTTGGAAAGGAAGGAAGTGAGCCACAGGGATTAGTCTGGGGAAGAGCCATGGCCAAACAGTGATGAGCTTTGTCTTGGGCTTTCTCCTATTAGTGATTCTTAGCTCGCATAGTTCTTCCCTGCAAACCCTGGGGACATTTGGCAATATCTGGAGACATTGTACTGTCATGACTGGAGGGATGCTACTGGCTTTTTTTTTTTTTTTGTTTTTTCAATTTTTTTTTTTTTTTTAGCATAGAGGTTGAGAATGTTGCTAAATCAAAGGCATTACAAAGAATTCTCCAGTCCCAAATGGCAATAGCACTGATGTTGAAAAACCCTTCTGTAAATCATAGGGTATTTTTGTAAAGCCTCAGTAAGCTCCATTTTGTTTTGTTTTATATCTTTTTGAAATATGAATGTGCAAAAGGAAATTATTGGTTTAGAATTACTAAACTGACATTTTAAAAAATCTTGGTAAATTAGATACTTAGGGCATTAGCCTGAAGATTTTAAATTAATAGTTATACTTTAGCAAATAAGAGCAGTAGGTTATTTAGTGTTTCTTCTCTAGTAAGAACTAAGATGTATTTTTTTGTTGTTGTTGGGGGAGGGAGGGTACCAGGGGATTGAATCCAGGGGTGCTTAACCACTGAGTCACATCCCCATTCCTTTTTATTTTTTATTTTGAGACAGGGTGCTTGCTAAGTTGTTTAGGGCCTTGCTCAATTGCTCAGGCTGGCTTTGAACTTGAGGTCCTCCTGTCTCAGCTTCCAGAGCAGTAGGTATTATAGGCATGTGCCACAATGCCTGTCCTGAAATGCATTTTTAATGTGAATATGAATAGTTTTTGTTTGTATTGAGGTTTAACTTTTTTCTTCCAAGTTCCAGAATTTTGCAAAGGAAAGAAATACACACACACACACACACACACCCACACACACCCACCCATGATTTTTTTAAGAGTAGAAATACCTAAGTAGAGCTATTTAGGCAACTCTTTCCGTCAACCTACCGTTAAAAATTGATGATAATGCTTTCCATTAACAAACTGGAAGTCCAAGTGTGCCATACTAAATGTATTAGTGGATAGGTCTTAATTGGAGACTTGCTGATTAGCCCTTTTCTTGTGTTTTTATAAATGTAAAATTCTTTCAGGCAACTTGAGCTGGTTGAGAGAGTGTTTGGACAACCGAGTGGGTGTTAATGGCTTAGACAAGGCTGGAAGCACTGCCTTATACTGGGCTTGTCATGGTGGCCATAAAGGTAATATGTTTTGTTTGCTATTAAAAATGAATCTCTGTGATGCTAAAATGTGTTTCACCTAAGGGAGTCAGATTCACAAAAATGGAAAAAAAAAAAACCCAAAACCTCAAAACAGCATTGGCTATCTTTTGCAAATCCTTTAGAACATCAGTCAAAAGCCTTGTTCCTGGAAGCCCTGTGGAACAGTGGGTGGAACGTGGCCAGTCAGCCCACTTCACAGACCTCTCACTTGAAAAATTGGAAACTTCTTTTTCCTCTCAAAGAAAACTAACCAGAAAACAACAGTAGTATAAAAATAAACCCACTTTCTAATCTTACAGAAGAAAAGGGCAGAACTGTCTCCTCTAGCTTTTTGCATTTTAAGTTTAATGCACAATTGTAGATTGAGAAGGGAGACAGCGTTGCTTAAGTGTGTGATTCAGTGGCTACTTGGTTACAGTCAGTGATTATGACGAGTTCTAGATGATGATGGAGTCTAGATGTATTTCATCCTAGCCAAAAAAATCTACCATTTTATACTTCTCTCTATAATACACAAAAAAATAAACCCCACTATGGGAAATAAAGAGCCTGACAAATTAAAGAGCATAACCAAAGGAAAATCTGTGACTCTCTCTCTTATTTTAGCTAATAGGCACGTTAGTTATATGAATGCTAAGTATCATGGCAAGTGTGAAACTATTCCTATTAATAGCTTTCAAATGAAAATACTAAAGCCAAACCTGTTTGAAAAAAAAAATCTTTTTCTTAAAATATTTCTATTTCTTTAGATTATTATGTTTTTCTTTACAGAAATTTTGAGAAGTTTATAATAAGAATGTTATTGAAGATTCTGCTAAAGAATACTCTCTTTAAACATTATTATGCTTAGTTTTATCAAACTTTTACTTTTCATTCTTAAGAAATATCTCTTCTATTTGAATTTCAGATATAGTGGAAGTGCTATTTACTCAGCCAAATATTGAACTGAACCAACAGGTGAGACTATTCAGTATGAGGAAATCGTTTAACACACCTGCCTTGTTCTCTTTGGCACAGTACAGCTTATGGGCACATAAAGTATTTTACTCAAAATACTATAAGCACATAGATTCTTGCTTTCCTTTTTCATTTAATGGTGCTGGGATTTGAAGCCAGGGCCTTGAGCATGCTGGGCAAGCCCTTTACCACTGAACCACACCCCTGGTCCTTAGTACACAGTTTTTAAACACTATTATTACTGTATTAAAATTTAAATTGAACAGAGCCCAAAGTACCTATCCCTCATCTCCTTGTGCATCACTTTCAGCTGTTAGCTCTTTCTTCCTGTATGTACCTTTGTGTTACTGAGGAATAGGCTGGTGGAGCCAGCCGTCTGGTCATGTATCATCTTTATGTGTATATTTGCTTCCTATTTGATTAATGAAGGTTGTCAGCTCCCCAGTCCCATCTCCCAGTATCTCAGCATCCAACCTTTCCTTCTTTGTATAATGTTTACATTATTGTCACTAAGTAATGTTCACTGCTTGTATAACTTTTTGTTTCTCTTTAGTTATTGACTTTTATTTAGCTTGTTCTTTCTGTCACTAGGACTGCTGCGCTGTTTTATACTCCCTTGATAGACTGTCTGTATAAGATAATCCATGAACTTTTTTTTCTTTCCCCGTCTTGGTCTCACCCTTCTTGTAGCAATTCATCTTCATGTTCCAACCTGAGCAATTTCATCTCTGCTACTCTTTGCCATCTTTCTTAGAGTCATGTTCTCCTTTCTGCTGTGTTGTCACTTTTCTGGACCTGTGTCTTCCTTTGTTGGAGATCATTTCTTCAAGTAGATTCCTGAGAAAGAGGAGCTTGGGATTGATTATTAAAAACTGATCACAATTCTAGGTTGCAAATAATTTTGAAGATGTAGCTCCATGGTATTCTTGTTCCCAGGGTGGCTTTTGAGAAGTCTGATACCATTTTGATTCCTATATTAGTGAATTTTCTATTATTATAATGAAATATCCAAGGCAGGCTACTTTATAAAGAATTGAGGTTTATGGGGCTAACAGTTCTGGAGGTTTAAGGGCATGGTGCTGGCATCAGCATGGCTCTGTTGAAGATCTTCAGGAGGATGGCATCAAAGTGGTGGGAATGTATGTGATAGGAAGAGATCATATTTCTAGACGGGAAGGCAGAGAGAGACTGTGGTTCCCATAGTCCCTTTGGAAGTTAGTGTCCCCAGATGACCTAAGTACCTTGTACTAGTCAGATTTTTGACACTTTAACAGGTATCTGCAATAATCAACTTATAGAAAGAAAAGGTACATATTGGCTGTCAGTTTTGGAAGTTCTAGTCTATGATTGGTAGGACCCATTTCTGGCTGGCAGGGGGCTTCTTTGTGGGGTAAAGTGGTGAGGTCCTGGCTGTTTTGCTGCTGAGCAACCCCTAGATGCTACTATAAATGCACTCCTCCCTTTTCTTCATGTGGGGTTGTACTGCTTCACCAGAGGAGTATCCTACAGCCTCCTGCCTGGGTGTGTTCCCTTAACTGCACACACTGGGGCAGTGGGACAGGTAAAAGTAGCTGAGAGAGGCATCTTACTGTTTAGTTTGTAAATTTGTCACCCAACCCTTAGCTTTTGGTTTCTGGTCTTCTTGCTACCTATGTCCATAAGCTTGGAAGTTATCTGGTTAATTTCTCAATGAAGTTATTCCACCATCTTTACTTGGTCTGGCAACAGGGGGGTCTTTGGGTTCTGGTTACTTCTTATTCTTTCAACTAGAACCTGTTTTTACCCCATGCCTCATTCTTACCACAGTGTCTCCAGGAATCCCTAATTCCAAATTCTTGCCAGGTTTCTATGAGGGTCAATTCCTTGCTCCCTCCTATGTCCCCCTCTGTGGGCATCTGAGTTTCAGCTTGTGCTCTGCCACATCACTTCTACTCCTCCATCCCATTCCCACTCCCTAAAATGACTCATCGCTCATGGCTGGAGTCTCCTTTCTTCCTCCACTCTTCCCTTTGGAATTTTGTAGTTTCTATAATTTGTTCTCATTTTAGGTTTAATTAGAGAAACTTGATGTCTGCATTCAGTACGCCTTCTCATTTTAAAATGCTGCTTTCCCTTTCTGTCATCATAGAACAAGTTGGGAGACACGGCTTTGCACGCTGCTGCCTGGAAGGGTTATGCAGACATTGTCCAGCTGCTCCTGGCAAAAGGTAATGTTCGTGATGAATATATCTGGTCTTTGCTTACCCAGAAAAATAGGTCACATAAAATTATACTATTTGAAATAGTAGAAAGAATAATAATCTTCTAAACTGTAATTTTAACCCCTCTTCTGTGTATACCACAGAGCTGGTATGATGAGATGAAATTATTGGGGTTATTTATGTTGCTTTAATTCTAAATTGAAACCTTTACTTATAAATTAAAAGCTTTAAAATTATGGATATTATCTTTGGGAAGAACTTACTGTGCATATCTGAAGGATTATAGGGCCTTAGAAGAAAGAGGTGTGTTTACATATATATGGGGGAGATCTTGTCTGAGAAATCTGCACGGGCAAAGTTGCTGATCTCATAGAAAAGTCTTGATAGATAAGAAAGAATGTTGGGACTGCTGTACCTTGCTTTGAGCTGAGCAGTTGTTAGATGTACAAGAATGAGAGATGCCTTGTTTTTATACAGTCTATGTGCTTATAGTATATATAGCTGGCCCTGGACATGGCTACTAATGCTGCCTGTGCACCTCTCCTGAAAAAGGAGCAGGGAACAGGTATTTGTTTTAAATCCTTCTTTCTCCTCCGGTGCCTCCATGACTATCAGAGGAAACTTGTAAATTATGGGCTGATCATCCATTCATCCATTTGTCCCGTACATTATTAATGAACCCTTATAGAGGGCCAGACATAATACCCCATAACACAACTTGATTCAGAGGCTATAATGTAGACAAGGGGCCAGGCCATAAGTGACATGTAATCATCATTGGGGATCCTTGGCAATGTTGTGAAATATATAGGAGGAAATGCTTTTGATTTTAAGTATGTTGATGATATAAGTTCTAGGTCTAAAAGGGCAGAGTGTGAGTCAGTTTTTGATGCTGTTACCAAAATACCTGACAAGAACGACTTAGAAAAGGAAAATTTATTTTGGCTCATAGTTTCAGAGGTTTAGTTTATGGTGGGCCAACTTCATTCCTTTGGGTCCAAGGAGAGGAAGAACATCAAGATAGAAGGGTCTGGTGGAAGAATGCTGCTCTATTCATGGTGACCAGGAGGCAGAGGTGGGGGGAAGGGACTGCAGAGAAGATGAACCTTTCCATGGCACCCCCCCAGGGACCCATCTCCTCTAGTCATGCTACACCTGCCTACAGTTACCTACCCAGCCTATTCAAACTAGATGGACTGATTAGGTTACAGCTCTCACATTCTAATCATTTCGGCTCTGAATATCCCTGCATCAACACAGGAGCTTTTGAGGAGCTCATATCCAAACCATGATAGTCAAACAGCATTAGGTCCACTATTGTGCTCCTCTGAAGGTTGTGCCAAGAGCAGCCACTAGCCTGTGTGCACCTGAGCCCTTGAAAAGAAGCTGCCTGAATTGAGTTGTACTATAAATATAAAATGCACACCCCATTTTTTTTTAGGATTTAGTGAAAAAAGTACAATACCACAATAATTTTTATATTGGATTACATGTTGCAATGATCTTTTAGATATTTAGTAGGTTAAGTAAAACATTATTAAAAGTAATTTCACTTTTTGCAAATGTGTTTACTATAAAATTTAAAATTAACTGTGTGGATCACCTTGTATTTATATTAGTGCTGCTCCAAGGGAACTCAGGAAATAAATGTGTTTCTTCTCTAGCATCCTTGTTTCTGAATATTTCCTGTCCTGATAAACATGAGTATGAGTTCTATAATATAATTTAATTTATTTGTCATAGAACTGTTAGCCCTCAGGAATTTTGACTTGACAGAATGAGAATTTCCGTATAACCTGAGGGATAGATGCAGATCTGGTCAATAGAATGAGATTTTTGCAAATTGGTGAAAATACTGTGGCAGAAAGGGTGAATTGAGAGAACCTTCTTGGAAGGTCACCTGGCAGTAGCTAACAGAATTAAAAATGTGCCTATCTTTATATTTCAGCACCCCATCTAGGAAACTGTCCTTTAAGTATTTGTGGGAACAAATGTGTTGCTTAAGGATGTTCATTGTAGTATCTGTGATAATCAGAGTTAGGAACAGCTTAGGTACCTATCATTAAAGCAAAGATTAAATAAATTTTGGACCATCTATAAAATAGAATGTTTATAAATACTTAAATATATTTCAGTTATATACATGCTGCCAGAAAAGAGCACCATTTGTATATTGTTAAAAGTATGACATTGGAAACCAACATATGTAGTATGATTTTGTATACATGTTCACATATGTCTGTGGATGCATGGATACACATAAGGGAAACAAGAACTCAGGCTCACTTGTAGGAATGGTTACCTCTGGAGAGGGTAAAAGACTGGACAGAATCCAGGAATACAATGCAAATGTATTCATGGATTCTGATGTAATTTTTAGCACAAAGTCAAAGTGGATAGAAAAGGGCTTACTGTAACAGTGAATTGGGGAACAATGAGTTGCCGCTGGGTTTTTTTTTTTTGTGTGTGTGTGTTTGTGTGTGTGTTGCCATTCTGCTAATTTACATGAGCATGTATGTACAGATATGAAAATATTAATCCCTTCAAGATTAACCCAGAGGTATTTTTTAAAAGACCTTCTTGAGCAGAACAAGAGGGAAGGGGTGTGTTGAATTTAAACTCCCCAGACTCCTGCGGAGGCACACATAACCACTGGGGTTTGGTGGTGATTTGGGATTTACTGAGGGGAAGGTAAACTCACAGAAAGGTCCATGAGTACTCCCATAGAGACTGGAAGGGAAAGACTGTGTTTCAATGGAGCATAGGCACCACAGGTGTAGCAGCTGGTCCCTGGTTAAAGATGCCACACACACTACTTTAAGGAGTTTAATTTGGTCCAGTACTGTTCTCTAGTTAGTTTTGCCATATGTGGTTAGCCTTGGTGGAAAGAGGATTGACTACTACTGTATAGTCTTTAAAGACACCTAACTTCCTTTTCTTGTTTTGGGAAGGTGCTAGAACAGACTTACGAAACAATGAGAAGAAGCTGGCCTTGGACATGGCTACTAATGCTGCCTGTGCATCTCTCCTGAAAAAGAAGCAGGGAACAGGTATTTGTTTTAAATCCTTCTTTCTCCTCTGGTGCCTCCATGACCAGCTCACGAATGGGAAAAGATTTTTTTCTTGATAAACCTTTTTTTTTTTTTTTTTAAGAGAGAGAGAGAACTTTTTAATATTTATTTATTTCAGTTTTCGGTGGACATAACATCTTTATTTGTATGTGGTGCTGAGGATCGAACCCAGCACCCCGCACATGCCAGGCTAGTGCACTATCGCTTGAGCCACATCCCCAGCCCTTGATAAACTCTTTAGATAGTCCTGAAGTTTGAATATATATATCTCCTTGCTCTAAATCAGAACCTCCAAAATAGAATACCTTCCAGGAAACAAATTTGAAGAAAGATACAGATCTTTCACTATTGTATATGTTTATATGTGTGTTTTTTTGTTTTGTTTTGTTTTGTTTGCGTGTGTGTTTATTTATTCCTTACAATCAATTTCTCATCACCTTGCTTTCCACAATCCTTTCCAGAGAACCGTGGTCTGAATTCCCTCACTTCATATATGTACTCATGAGTGGTTATGGCTAAATATTATTCAAATTAAGTATTCAATAGCTCACTGATTATATTTTGTTTAGGAGGAAGAATAAATTTGAAAAAAAAATAAAAAAAATAAAGGAAAGCATGTGTGGTTGTTTTGAAAGAAAGGTGTTAAGACACACTTGAGTCATTCGTGGTCACTGTTCAGATCAGCTGCTTATTTGACCTCTCAGTATGTAGTCTAATGAACGTGGCCCCCTGGATTTGTTCTTGTGCATCCTGGGAGGATGTGCCTTGACCTGACCTCCTGTCCACCTCCTTTTATCCCCCTCCAGTGTGTCATTAGCCACCTGGCTCATGCAAGCCAAGAGAGGAAAAAGAGAAGAATACAGAGAACATTAAACCCCTTTCTTCTTACATCTCAAGCTTTACTCTGTTGTCTGATGTTTGACACTTTCATACCATTAAAGTATAAACGAACAGTTGACACTTTTTTCACCATTTTATAAAACGAAACTAGTATGATAGAAGACTCACTTTTTGCAAGTCTTTTGCATTGCTGCTCATTATTTCAGACCTTTTTGGTATTACTTTAGAGCCCAAGTTTAACTAATCTGTGTTGGTATAGAGAGTCAGCAAAAAGACTTTTGAGAAAAGAAATTTCCACTATAAAAGCAAAGGACATTTGTCTCCCTGTAGCTGGATGACATTATTGCTTCTATAGTTCTTGACCTGTGCAGTGGAATATTTGTCAATTTTCTGTTTTTATTAGTGTAATAAAATTCCCATTATTTTTTGAACTCTGGGAAAACTTTTTTCTCCCTCAGGTATCCCTCCTTGTCCTCCATTAATTGAGCTCCAACAATGTGCCTGTATTTGTATTCCATTTTGTTCCCTCCAAAATGATAGGGTAATCTACTGCTACAAGGATTTGAGTAGATGGTTGAATAGGTGACAATTACAAATCAGTTGTCTTTCTTCTAAGTCCTGCTTAAGTTGACATAACATTTGGTGGGGTCCAGCTCTTTTTATTTTAAAATGTTCTTGTTTCATTTCCATCTTTTGTTTCTGAGTATACTTTATTTTCAGTATTTTCTAAAATGAATCTGAAGCTTCCCTGTTTTTGTTCTCTTTCCTTCCTCTCGTGAGTTATCTTTCTACCCAGTGACCTTGCCTTCGGGTAAAGGCAAGGATTGTGATGTGCCTGAAGCCACATGTGCACTTGTCACTGGGAGAGAGGAGGTTGGGAGCACTGCTGTCAGAGTGGAGTGGCTGTTGGTGTGTTCCAAGTTGGTCACCGTGCATGTAGCTTTGTTAGAAACAGACCACTCAGTGCTGTGTACTTTACTCTGCACATCTAAGGAACATGTGGACCACTGTATTTGTGTGCTTCTGTAATAGCAGATACTTAATAGATTAAACAGTAGGAAAAAAATCCCATGAAACTTATAAACCTAGGGTCATAGGGAAGAGTACAGTTTGTTGAGCTGATAGAAGCTTTGACAGGTAAAAAGAAAATCTGAGCAATTAGTAATTTGTTTTGCTTTTCCTGTCCATTTCTTTTAGATGCACTTCGAACATTAAGCAACGCTGAGGACTATCTTGATGATGAAGACTCAGATTAATTCTCTTCGGGAGCTTTGAGACCTAAAACTTTTTTTTCCTTTTGCCATTCCAAAACCTTATTGTTGCCAGAAGAGTATTGGTAACTGTAAGAAAAAAGAAAAAAAAAAAGTATATATGAACGTTGCGGTGTTGCACTGTGATTGAGTAGAACGTGGAAATGAATAGTTTTCACCTTCATTTGCCAATAAGTAACCAGATACTTTGCTGTATAAAATACATTTATGTTCACCAGTGTAGAACAAGAAGAGATTATTTCTATTTATCAAGCTAAAAGAATTTAAGGATTTTTTTTTAAATTGGGATATTTTGGGGGAGGGCTGGGGGTTCTTTACCTCAAGGATTGAGATATTTTGAATAGATTTTTTTTCAAGGGGGGGATGCTTATTATAATAATATACCAAAATACTTAATAGGAAATTGTCAGCTATTCTGACAAAAATAAACATTTTAAGTTACTTTATTCCTTTTGTCTGTTTTTTTCATGCTATTACCATTGCTGATAAATAAAGATTTTTATATTCAGTTAAGAAGAGGTTAAATTTATGTTTGTATCTATAAACACAAGAGTCTCATGATTGTCACATTTTTATTTAGCTTTCTGTATTTGCTATGATCAAAGAAAATTATCATTAAGAAGATGCATACTTAATAACATAATTCTAATAATTATGAGATGTTCAGTTTTATAGCCAAAATTATAATGAAAGCAAAGAAACCTAGTAACTCATTACGGTTGGCTCAAGGTTTGAAAGTTAAAAAATATTGATTTCCTCATAAATGATGCGATAGTTTTTCAGATGGAGTAGACAGGAGCCATGACATTTTTTTGCACGCATTCTCTTTGGTAACATTGTTTCCTCCTGGTGTGGGTCTAGCTCATAATGGTTCAGATTCTTTTGCTGAATCTTCCCTTTACATTGCAGAGAGCAACTGCATCTGAGGACCTGATTTTGTATCACTGCAGGGATGATGTTAAAAATGACCTGGCCACTAGAATTTGCCTATTCCTGGCCCTCTACCCAGAAGTATATTTGCAAGATGACTTCAATGCTAATTTGAAAAAAAGTAAAACAGTTTAGTGAAGAGAAGGAAATGTTTGAAGAAGGAAGTGGGTAGCTCAGGAAGTGAGCAGCTA